TCTGATACGTATATTTTTTCGTATTATTTGTTTATCTTATTTCTTCAAATTTTTATTGCACTGTATTTTAACGTTTAAAATAAAATCACATACAAAAATCTTGTACATGGATGTATTTACCGCATAAGGTCATTGGAAATACATGTGACAATTTTTTGTTCAAAAATTCAAGATTATCTTGCATAAGATAATAAAGAATATTCATTTCCACAGCGGACCCCTGCGAAATATCAGCGTGTCAGAACGGAGGATCGTGCATAACAATTAGAGGAGCTGGAGGTCTTCCTGATTATGTTTGTGCCTGCCCAAGTGGATTCAGAGGGAAAAATTGTACCGAAGGTAAAATATTTTTAGTTGATGAAGTTGATGGTTTTGTCTGATGCTTATATTTGCTTGAATGAAAGAATTGATATTAGGTTGGGATATTATGTAATGTTTTCCTGGTATTTTACTTGACTGACGTTTTTTTTTTTTTTATATTTGCTTTGAAAACCAAATCAAATAAAACATTTAAAGCATAAATATTAGGAATATACCTATAGACATTTGAACGCGTAAGTTTCGTACAAGAAAATAAGCGACTTTGAAAACGCCATAGACTGTTTTATACTCGCCATTTGTGTCATTTAGTCTTGAGTCTAAATGAAACACTTTACCATTGTCCTTGACAGCTGCAGCAAGAGTTTGCTACACCGGTGTATCCACGAGAAACGCAGTTGAACCAAGCAACGCTCTCATGCTTCCAACATCATGTGCATCGTCAGCTGATTCCTGCATGATTGCTACAGTTATGACTAATGTTGGCGGATTGGCAGGTGAGTTATCCTATCAGTAAGTACGCTTGTCAGAATCACAAAATAGTAGCGAACAAAAGACTAGCGAAAAAAAGATTCTGTCACGTCGGAAGGGTGTTATTATTTTGTGGGTGCTTCTACCATATTAGACGTTGAAATAGACTTTTTATTCCAACTTTCGAACAACAGGGTTAATCAATTATATCGCAATGGATGACATAAATATGATCACGTAATTTAATCTTGCACATTTTCAGCATACGTTGATACTGCACAGTGCGCCAACGGAGCTATTTGTAAAGGACTTACGTGTGATACTTTGAAGAAGACGATGCCAAATTTCAACGTAGTTGACTGTAAAATTATATGCTGTGACACAGATCTATGTAATACTGCTCCGATGGACGTAAGAGTATTCTTGATTTGGTTTCGAAAAGCCCAATAATATTTGGTCTCTTTATCACAAAATTTTTTTTGAACGTTTAGAATATTTAGTAATCCTTTTTTGTTTCTGATATCAATGACGCCATTTGCCGAGATGTCATAAATAATAACCTTTTAAAATATAATCATATCATAAATATAATCATGAAAATGCTACACAGATTGTGAAATGCAAAACAGTTTGTATTATCCCCTGTTCGATTTAAAAAACGAAGATTTTACAGAAATAGCAAATGATATTATAAAAAATTAAATTAAATTCTTTTTTAAATAAAATCTCAGTTACCAGTCTTTACAACAACTCCGTACACGACGACAAAACGGCCAAAAACAACACGGAAACCCAGAACAAAGCCACCACGAAGAACCAGAAAACCAAAAACACCAAAACCATCCAAACGACCACAACGTACCACGACACCCAAGACAACAACAAAGCCGACACCAACTACCACAGTCGACACATCAGGTAGGCTTCTAGTATAGGCCTACTGTTTGGTACTTGTATAATGCCATTTTGCACATCCACTTTTTTCCGTACCATTCGGTATGGTTTATGATTAGTCCAAAAATAAAATCTTTGCAGAACAAAGTGGAGATTTCGGTTATCAAATTCATTAAAATACATATTTTTAAGATAGGATATTAGGGACATACATACCTGCAAATTTATAAGTATGAAAGAAAATTCAAATTCAAGCACGAATATTGGGCGATTTCATTGTTGGAACAGACGCAGGCTGATTCCTTTAGCGTACAAAGAGTCGAGATTATCTGAACGTTATTACTGACAAGTATGCATTCGTAAAAATTAATAAAGCCCAGTGTCATATATACTGATCTCAATGCATATGAAAAATAATCTACCACACGTTGTTACGATGATTAATTACACCTTCAAACTTTTCGTTTGTGCAAAAAGCAATACCAAATCTACAATAATCTTATTTCAGGACCACATTGGAGTCAGTGGCAAGATTGGCAGAGATGTACGCACAGCTGTGGTTCAGATGGAATAAAACAAAGATTTCGTTTCTGCATGAAAGGAGCACCAGGAATGGCAGGTTGCATGCCAAAGGAAGGAATGATTGAAAAAGAACCATGCAATACAGAAAAATCTTGTATAAGTAAGTTTTATCTGATGTATAATATCGAAAGTTAGCTGTGTAATACACGTAGGAGTCCTACTTTTTTCTGGGTACTCCCGTAGTGTATGTACCAGGTTAGGGTTAGGCCATAATTTTTATCCGATTTTCCTTATCTTAGTTATATTACCAGTTCAGGGACTGTCTGTGTTAGCCAAGTAAATTTCCCCCCTGACCATAGGTTTCGGTCTCTTTTTACAACTTGATGAAGGAGAACAAAATTAGTCACCTCCATATTGGTACATACACTTCTGGAACGCCTTTTCCGGTTATGCTAAAACTATAACTCCGGTACTGCGGAATGAAAAAATGAAATTTTGACTATCCATAGTATCTTCCCAGTGACAATTCCAGTCACCGATTTTACTTAAGCATACAAAAATGAATTAAATGATCGGTATTTCACTAGATTGGAGAGAATGGAACAGTTGGCAATCTTGTTCTCGTTCATGCGGAGGTGGGAAACAAGAGAGAAGACGATCGTGTGATGGTGGGGCTCCGAACAGTGGAAACTGTATGGGAAACGATTTGGAAGAACAACAATGTAATCAACATTCTTGCGACGGTCCACCACGTAAGGAAATTTACATCTTTAACAAAATAAAACGTTTTCATAGCCGAGTTTGAACATAAGATGGCAAAAGTTTTTATACCGAATGAAGTATTCTCGATACTGTTGTATTGTACCGATTTTGATATGTAATGGATCCGGATGGAATTAATATCCGGGCCCGTGGATATTAAACCCGACCCGACCCGAGCCCATTTTACGCGAAATCACTCTTAAAATGAGCCCCGAAAATTTTGCAATGGTAAAGTATAGAAAGAATATTTTCGGGGGTCAAAGGTCGGGGAAAGGTTCATCCGTACAGCTTCTTCTCTGATCTATTCAAATTATTTCTTTTATATCAAATATTCCTTAGTTTAGTATTCAAAACATAGTTTTAGTATATATTTTTATTAATTTTAAAAAAAAAAAATTCAGCGATAGAGAAACCCGACCCGACCCGAAATTTGGGTCGGGTCGGGCTCCAGATTTTGGCTCTACCCTGTATACATATACTAGCCTAGCTGTTAAAGCATTACTTAACTGTGTTGGCATCGCAGGCTATACACTCGGGTTCAAATCCCATGCGCACCACCGCCGAACTGTCTTTCTGAAAACAGCATCCTTACATATCGTAAGATATCATACATTCAACTAATTTCATTGTTCCGGAAAGTATTAATGGTAACGATATGAGTATTCACAAACTGGATGGGGTTGGAATCAAATCTTCTTCAAGTAAAGCATCAGAAATGAAAATCATATTTTGTTGTTCGGCGTATGCTCAAATAACATTGAATTATTCGAAAATTCATTTCCAAATTAGCAAGGCATCAGTATTTTACATGAGGTAGACGTAGAAGATAATACGTGACAAATTACGTATTGAAAATTATATGAATTCAAATTAAAAAAGAAACCATTTTTCGATTAAATAAATATTTCATTATTGTTGATTTTAAGCAACTACGACAACCACAACAACAACAACTACTACACCAACTACCACCGCGACTACAACAACGCAAGCAGCAGCTAAGCCAAAACGAGCAAGTGCGTGGTTAAAATCTCAACTATTATTGCAACAAACACTAAACTGTTCATAAATGTGATGTTAATGTTATAAATTTTATTTATTGATCAGACAAGGGATCGCCTCAATTAGTATTGGTCATTCGTACTCTAAACTTGATCAAAGTATTCACTGTAAATAGCACATGTATTTACTTTACCTATTTAACAGTATGTGGTTTGAAATAGATCTGACGCTATCAATACCATTTGGTTATTATGTTTATTCAGGGTGGGAGAAATGGAGTGATTGGGATACGTGCAGCGTAACTTGCGGTCAAGGTACGCAAGAAAGATCTCGTTCCTGTATTGGAGGAAGACTTGGAAGACGAGGTTGCAGAGGCGGTGCCAAACAGAAAAGAGATTGCAACGATGTCGATTGTGGTAAGTTTTATTACAAATACATTCATAGTCTATTTTACATGAAATAAGTATTATTAGTATTGTCGATTCAACTCCCGACTAATCTTCAGTCATGTAAAGTTATCAGACATTCAATTAAGTTAAACCATTTGTGCTCGAACAAAAATATGGGTTTGACTATGGCTGCATTGATATGAGCACGTTAAAGTGCGTATCAAGGATCGGGTTCTATATTAATCTGTTAAATCTGTGGTCGATAACCACCAGGACGCGACCGAGTTACTGGGACGAATACTTTTCCATGGCCAATGCTTTGAAACATCTTTATAACGTTTAGCGCAATTTCTGACTAATTTTCAACACCACGTATGCAAATCATACAAATTTACACAAAATAATATATTCAGCAATGTTAATTTATTTTTAATCAACAACGAGCATTCGAATATTCTTGCATTTTTGAGGTATTTATCAAGTTAGTTGAAATGTGATTTTGGAAGTTTGATTCGAAAAAAATTTCACTTATAAATTGGTCTGCAATGCAAAAGCGTTTGCCTCTAGGGCCTAAATGATCCTGAATTGAATGTTTATTCAATTATTGATTAATTATTTATAAATGAAATAAATTTACTTTAGTGACAACAACTGAAGCTACCATCCCAGCCTCGACTGCAAAGCCAAAAGCTCGTAAGTATTTTGGTTTTCAATTTTTTTTTCAACATCTTATTGCCGATATATTTAGTTTTAAATCGCTAACTTCGAGGTTATCCCGTAACCACATCATATATATAACTATATGTACCTTTCTTGTCAGGTTGGGGTGACTGGGGCGATTGGGAAACATGCAGTGTTACATGTGGTAAGGGTACGACTAAAAGATCGCGTGCCTGCATGCATGGTAAAATTGGAAGAAAGGGATGCAGAGGCAAAAGGAATGAAAAGAAATCTTGCGATAAAGGACTGTGTCTCGGTTAGTAATTATTCATATGAATTAAACACACTGCGGTGAATTTACATTGGTCAGTATTATATATATAATATACTGACAATACTAAATAAAGATCTCAGTGGATGTAATGTTTGTCAAGCTACAAATCTAATAGATAATATTAAAGTATACTTTTGTGGCTTCAATGTTTTCTACATTCCTACAATGTTTCACACACTTACTTTGCTAGATAATACGAATCCTTCTTCCATTTCATTAGTTTTAACTACGACTTCGGCTGCACCCAGTACCGAGGTACAATGTATGAAGCGCGACACGAAGGCATCCAGAAGAAATGGCCGTCGATGTCCATTTGAATGTTCTGCCGATAGCAATTGTGATGATGGAGAGAAATGCGTTTGTGATGGACTTTGTGGCAAAACTTGTCAAGATACCAGTAAGTTATTTCTAAAATGTACTAAATACATAAATAGACATTGAGAATTAGTTTTAATACCATGAAGAAGCTAAGAATGTTGAATGATTGCCGTAGCTTTCTGTTGTGGTTATGATGAAAAATAAAAATTATGCCTATTCTGGAATAATTTGTAACCAATGTTCAAAGTTTTTCACCATGACCATTTATGAAAAAGCACGTATTACCATATCATTTCTATATTTTAGCGCGGAAATGTATAAATATTCTTTCTGTCGAAGAAGACGGTACTAAAGTATCTTGCTCAAACGGAATATTTGTTGGATCAAAATGTACATTTTCGTGTGAAAGAGGATATGAATTGAAAAATGGTCCTGATGTTTATTGCCAAGGATCGACAAAATGGACGAATCAAAGAAAAATACCAAAATGTGTTTGTAAGTATGAATTCACGTTTTCAAGTCAAGTTATTATACTTCAAATTTGGTACATATCATTACATCGGTGATCATTTTCGCCAAGGGAATAGCAGAGGAAGGTTATCATGCGTGGTGCGCAAGGTCATAATACCAGGACTTACAGTCTGTGACTACCTGTTTTACAATGAGATAACATGTGCGACCTGCCATATAATTTTGATGGAATGGATTGGTAATCACGTGTTCTTTTACATTTTCAGCCTCTGGACCTATACCAGAAACGACAACCTCTGCTTTTATTGCTGCAATTACAACTGCTTCACCTATTTCTCCAGCCCAAAAATGCACTTTCAAAAACGATGCACAAGATTCTTGCTGCGGAAAAATTCCACATATTTCTAAGAAAACTCGATGTTGTAATGGGAAAGTTCGGTAAGTTCAGGAAAATGAAATTTCTGTACAATCCTCCCATACATTGTTTCTCCGCGACGTAGCACAATGGATATTCCCCCGAGAATCGACTTCTATGTTTACTTCTGTAGCATTGGCCTCTCAGCGAGATATCAATAGTGACGTAACAATTGAGATTTTAGGATTTTTGAATCAAACTATAATGACTATGAACATGCAAGCAAACCAGATTTGAAACCCCATCTCGCGAAAACACCCTCAAAGTGAACGGTATTGTTCGGTTCTGTTGTTACATGTTTTGTTTTGTATTCTAGTCCTGCAGGACCAAGCATGACGGACTGCTGTGGTACCAGACCATACAACCCTAAAAAATCAGGATGCTGCGTAAAAAGTTTATATAAGGTAAGTTTATAATTTTGATACTTTTTTATTTTAATTGATAAAATCGATGTTCTATGGCTTCCTAGTTTTTTCATAGTGTATGGGATATTCAAACATACCGTTCAGTGCCAAATAAAAGATCTGAACTAAATTTAGCACACGCAGAGCCCAAATTGTAAAAGATTTTCTATGGGTTTTCGATTTATGTGGCTAAAATATACAGGTAACATTTTTCTGTTTTATTTATTTGACGATTTTTGTTTCAGAAATCCAACCAGAAATGTGAAGATGGCAAAGTGGTGAAGAAATAATATAGTTCCAGTTCGCAGATTTTTCTACCGGCATCATGCTTAGACAATTTATTGTCAACCTGTTATCCACACTGTTTACAAATGTACCTTTTATGTATTTTATAAACATCTATACGGAAAATGAGCATTAATCTTTTTATTTTTGAAATTTCGAACCTAACATTCTGAATCTACTGATGGTAATTAACGCAACATGCAAATGCCATTTCAAATGCTACGGTCGATAGCCTGGACAGCGGTCTGGAAAAGTCATTCTACACCAAAGTAGACAATAATATCATGTTTATCATACTAAATTAATTGTACTAATTAATTTTTCACTCGTTGCATAGTTACAATTGAAAAAAAAATATCAAATTGAATTATGTATTAAGAATAACTTTATTTTCAAGCTTCAACCGCCAATAGTTGGACTTGTTTAAATAAACAATACTTTCCTAACGCACCAATGTTGATTATTCTGAGTTACCTTCTTTGAGTACTTCTTAGAACTAAAATTGCTGGCGAACCTTGCGTGCCTAATGAAGAATACCCACGCAAATATTACTTTGCAGATAATACAGCTACGCGTTTATTGCGTCAAGAGAAGATAGCACTATCTGAGGACTGCAAATTGAAACTACATCGCAAAAAATTGGCTCCGGACTGTTTAGGGAAGAACAAAAAATAAAAGTGAAAAAGCAGCAGGCTATTCAATGTAGCGCTACTGAAGCAATTATACGATATCTACAGTCTCATTAGAATAGAATAAGCCTTCACACCAAATTTGAAATGCAAATTACCTACAATACTATATCCCTGCACTCATTTAAAAATGTGGGCCTCTGCAAACTTCTGTGGAGATGATGTGGCCCGCAATCAAAAAACAATTGCCCACCCCTACTCTAATAACAGATTTTTGACTGAGTTAGAAGTAACATGCGTAAACGGTTTGAAACGATGAACAGTATATATATTTCCGACAAAAACTACAGTTTATCTTGAGAATAAGCATGCATTGTTATTCGTTACAAGTTGCATTGCACAATATCAATCAATGCACAATCTTGACAAAAAGGTCGTTCGACTCGAACATAAAGGGAAATATATATATATATTTATTGCGTTTCAAATATGGAATAAAAATTAGAATACAGTGGAAATCGAATATATATATATAGGTTACCAAAACACTATCAGATATGGCCTGCTACAAACAAAACAATATTTTGACAATGTTTCTTGTTTCGAGTTATATATGTCAATATATTGGTCAGTGGTGGGATTCAGCCGGGTGGCACTGGTTCTATAGAACCGTCTCACGGAATGTTATGGAATCAGCGAACCGGTTAGCATTACTGGTTACTGTCAATGTTCTGTTTGTAACAGAACCGGCTGAAAAATATGACTTTTGTGAAACAACCGGCTGACAAAAAATTTGAATCCCACCACTGATATTGATGCTGTATCACATCTTGTGATCTTCAAATATAACTGATAAAGTTGTCTACAATCGTTCCGCAAAATAACAATGCGATAGTTCAGTTTAGGTCATCTCCGTCTTGCTTCCACTGGACAACCTGATGGACAGCGAGTGACGTTTGAAACTAACAGCAAGGCATCCCGTGAAATTATAAGATAGTTCAGAGCTAACATTTTTGAATCAGAATCGGTCTGAATGTTGTTGCGAGTAGCCAGATAGCTACAGGGTCGTTTGAAAGTTGCACGCGATATCTCACGAAAGCGAGATTGAATCTGCTCCAGATTTTGCATGTGTATTCATCATATGTCGTACCAGAAGCCTATTGATTTTGGATGAATTATGTCGTATAATTAACGAGTTATTAATTAATTTGTGACGGACACAAGGTGTCACTATGGAGTAAGAGCGCTGTTTTGGGATCCCCTAACTTTCGATTGATAAGTCTTTGGTCTCTGACCGATATTCTCGTTTTTGATTTGTGCGAATTAAATATATCCTAAAAAATAGACATTCGGGCGATCTGACACGGGGCACGATGCCTACAGAAATCTCAATTATGCCTCAGTGGGCCGTTGGCTTGTGAGGCTATAGGGTTGCCCGAAAGTAACCGGAATAATTATTGGACTTTTTTACTAAGCATTCACTGAATTGATTAAATTTTTAGTTGCTGTCGTCAATTATTGTGCGCGGGAAGCCGGCATAGCGTTGTGCATCGCTCATGCGGTCTCAGAATTGCGATATACGTGTTGATGAAAGATTTTTGATGTATGCTACTCCATGATATCGCTGCGTTCGACTGACTATTCAAGTGAGCAAAACATAAACTTATTAACTAATAATCTGCTGATGCTTACATTATCTTGCCTTTTGGTTGATATAAAATGGGTATTTTCTGGAAATTAAAAGTTTGAGTCGATGAAAATCAAATTGTGAAACAATGTTGAATTTTCTCTGTATTGTTCATCATAAACTGATATACATATGTAAATATTGTGGGTTAATCCCGCTTAAGGTTTAATACAGATTTATTCCTACATGAGATTGATTCCAACGTGATGAGTCAGCGAAAAATACAAGTTTTACTGAGGTCATCTTTTTTTAAACAACACTTTCAATAATATCTCTCAATTCCAAGTACATTTCGCCAACATGGTAGTTTTATGAGAATAGCTATGCTGTTTTACTTCGGGATGTATCGATATCTGTTATGGTCCCACATTACCCATGCGTAACTTCCAATCGGGAGCGTCGTTGCGCACCCACTTATCCTTGCGCCCCAACGCCATTCTGGAATCAAGGCGTCAAAACCTCATAAATTTAAAATGTTGTCACATTAAAGAGCAATGATTGGTTTAACAAATTTGTAAGTTTTGTAAAGTCCACGTTGTATTCGGAAGTAACTAAAATCTTTAATGACTCAAAAATAGCAATTATATATATCATGTCCCTTTGGCTTGGCCGAGGTAGGGTGATACAAGATTGGCAAATATCTAAAACATTAGTCCGCCTCATTGCGGTAGCATCAGTCATTACTCAGTTTCGCTACATATCATGATTAAAATAATTTCAATTCCAATTATAAATATCAATATTTTCTAATTTTTCATCTATTTTCTAGATATTTTCATCAGGTAACACGATGTCAAGAGAACGCAAAAAAACTTTTCATGGCTTCTTCTACTATATACTTTATCTATTAAAAAAATTTAGACCTATTTCTGCCATTAGGTTTTTAGGGATTTTCTTTTTCCCAGTTTATTCTAGATATCTACAAAGGAAGTCCACGATGTAAATGAATAATATTTCAACATTTCGGACAAATTAACACCAAATTAAACAGAGTAAGATTTTTGTAACTCCAGTTTTACTTTTGCATGAAATGACAGTTATGCTGAAAAAACGTGGGATAAACTAGAAATAAAAGAAATATTTTCATAAATATTTGCACATTATGTGATTATGGTACATATAACTGATCGGAAATGTTTAGTCGTGTATTCAATAAAACGCTATTATGTACTACCATATTTTTTGCCATATATATTTGTAGAAAAAGATTAAGAAAAAAAAAACTAAGACCGTAGTATGTGATGAATTTTTTAATAAAGCGACTTATATTAAACTAACAAATAATTTTGAAGTAATAGTTGTAACTTGTGGAATTTGAAAACTGCGACTTAATTTCTTGAAGTGAAATATGGTGAAAATTATTTTTCTGCACTTCCATAATTAGGCAAAATACAATACAATAAAAATAAAGTTGAATAACCGATATCTATAATACTTAATCTACTGTTAATACTTAAAATCGATGGAATTCCAAATCGGCGACTCAATATTTTGAAGTGATATATATTTTCAGGAAAAAAATCGCCAAGAAAAAAAATTAAAATAAAAAAGAAAATTTTGTTTGAGGGAACTCTTTTAAAAAAGTTAAACTTAATCAAACTTCAGGGACAAAACGAACTAATTACAGACTGTTATGAACCATACGGGCGTTTATCACAAAGCATGAAATTTGCAAATTTAAATTGAAGTCCATTTTTCATTACTGAATTGTTTCAACTCCAGAAACAAAGATTCAATTTCTGTAGCTGGATAAGTGAACTTCCATACTGTCTATATATTGTTACTTCTTGAAACCATTTTTTTATTTTTCACATTCGTCATATTTCACAAAACAAAACTGTAATTCGTGTATGACGCGTTATTCAAGTTACAAGCTGCGGCCCGTGGCTAACCTAAATCGTGATTTGCGGAATTAGGACATTTCTGTTTTATCGCAACCTGTCCCAGCACAATAAAGAAAATTGAATTCCACACATTGATCAGTGGCGTAGCCAGGGGGGGTGATTTTGGTTCAGAACCCCCCCCCCCCCTTTTAAAATTTCTGGTTACGCCCCTGACATTGATAACATATGTGCCAACAATCGCAACACCTACATAGATAAAAGCATTGAAGTTGCATTGGCCCCAGAACAGTGTTATCAAATGCAATATTCCACTAGTTGCCAACCTTTTTATTTCAACATCATTGGTATTAACACCATTCTCGCGATACGATCGATAAACTGTTGGTTATGACCGTTTATAAGAAACTCGAATTCGATTCGATTGGTTTGTCGCGGGTTCACTATCAATGACCAAACATTTATAGATTTTTTTTATTCAAGAAAGCGGTGACCAATATTGTTGTTACTCACATAATGCTCTTGATATGAGCAATCAGCTGTTATGGGGTTTTATGACATCTTAAATCGGCTACTGCTGTACGTATTCCTGAATGGCCACGCTGAATATACAGCCAACCTCGGAATGATGTTTGGTTCACAGCAAATTACTACATCTACTTTACACTGGTGACGAGTTACTTGTCATAATATAATCATTAACCATTTAAAAAAATTTATTGCAAAAAAAAAACGCGACCTGACAAAATGTGCAACGGTACCACTCCAATTCTCTGATATGAAACACGTGGACGTGGCTATGTATGCATATAAAATCAATTTGCTTTGTATTAACATCACGTGAATGAATAACTGTTTTTGTATATTGAGTTATCTGTTTTCGGATATGACATTGGCTGTATATGTAATTAGTTGTATATAAATTGGCTTGGCTGTATATCCATACATATTTTGGATGCATATGCACATCTCGTTACTAACCCCATCAGATGCCGTACTACGACATCTAGCGTCAATATTGTACAAGTGTTGAAACTTCTTCCGCGAAGGCGACATCACATGCTAAGTTTCTAATTCGCCCGAGGCGATAGTTTTAATGGATATTATTTTATAGTTCCTGTTATTACGTGATGTTCAATAGTCTGGAAAAACCGGTGTAAATCTTGTCGAAATCAGTTGATGCCCTCGAGGCACTTGCTGAAGCAAAGGTACGGTTCTAGTAACAGTGTGCGAGGCAAACTTTTGATGAGGCCAGGTAAAGATATTTATTGTGCAAAAATTAGCGTTGATTAAATATCTAGTTTAAACCCAATTGAAGCTTATCAAAAGTCTGTCAGAATGACAGTTTTATTGGTTAAATGAGAGAGCAAGGAGGTTGTGTTTCATTACTAAATTTAGTGAGTTTATTGGATTCAATAAGAATGCCTTAGAAACATTTTTCGAAATAGTGAGATTTTTGATGCATTTTACCCGTTTACTGTATTCATAGTTGAACTTCAGGTTCCGAACAAAAAAGCGTGCAAAAAACATCATTTTTATTTTGCAATAATTACGTTTGGCAATGAACTTGTGAGGAGCAGTATGACTTGGCAATAAACTCTTCTAAAGTTCAAGAACCAATTACGCAACAAAGAGCCATGACGTAACAAATAATCAACCTAGAATCATTTATTCTTCTTATTATTTGATTTGCAGATATTCGTTTCAATTTAAGTATATTTCGATATCGAAAATGGATTGGATATTCCATGCTTCGATATTCAGTCTTCTGATAGTTCACGGATACAGCCAGGTTAACAGTAAGTGCATATTTTCGTTCAGCAATACTTCCATGAAATATTGTTTACTAACGTTGTTTTTTTTAGCTATTGTGGTTTCTAGGTATTTCAATTTTGACCTTCCTTATATCATTATAATTTTTGTTTTACAGATATTCCAGCGCCAAAAAACATAAAAATTACTGAAGATTCTGTTACTGACACTGGATTCTGGGTAACATGGGAGCCCGTCTCAAAAGCCGATTCATACAGGGTACTTTCAATTAAGTTTGTGCATCTTGGTAATCAGGGTAACTTCGATAAATTGGAAAAAAAATATTCGTCACTTAATCACTTTATAAATTTTGTAGAATATAGATCGATTGGGGGTTTTCTTATTTGTAAGATTACTTAGGCTTTAAGGTTCATCAATTTTGTTTAACTAAAAAATCACACAACTTAAACGTAATGACCTACGTTAACGGTAAAGTCCCCAGACCCAAAACAGAAGCTTTTATCACAAAATATCATTTATTTAGGTTATCCTTTCTCCACCAAAAATTGGAGCGGTTGGTGTGGGCAATGGAATTACTGACAAATTTACTGTCATTGATGGACTAGCTCCGGATACTGAGTATAAAGTTACGATTATACCAGTCAAAGGAAGCGACGAAGGCACTCCTGCAGTCGTTGTTCAAAGAACAGGTTTGTTTCTTTGTCGTTAGGCTTGGAAATGAAGGGATACATAATGCAAAAATGTCTATAAACCCTATATACAGATACATGTTTCGCTGGTTTACAATTAGATAAGAGAGCGAATGTGTCTTATGTAACGGCATTTTAATGGCCTCATTAGCAGTAGGAATATTGGACTGCCTAATAATATAAATAACGGGTTTCCTATTTAGGTACTCCCATGGTATATGTACCAGGTTAGGGTTACGAGTTTGGGGACTGTCTGTGTTAGCCAAGTCCATACGCCCTGCCCATAGGTTTCAGTCCCTTTACACAACTTGATGTAAAGTAGGCGAACAAAATTATTTACCTCCATATTGCTACACACACTTCTGGAGCGCCCAATTTTATGTCAAATATCTAACTTCCAAGATCGGTAGTGTCAGTCAGTGCAGGTTCAAGTGTTTCTATATAATTGAAAAATGGTAAAAGTTTGCGTGATCTAACTTTGTTTTAACAAATCTGTAAAACAAAAAGGTGACCTACGGTAATACTAATCATTACTATTAGGTATATGTATTGATTAGTATTAATTGAGCTACGGAGAAATTTACCATATAAAACATTTACAGCATTGCCTGCACCAACGAGCTTGTTCGTCGTATCAGACTCCGTCACAGCCAGTGAGATGGTTGTTGGGTGGGCAAAAGTACCAGATGCTCAATCTTACACGCTTGAAGTTGCCCCATCTACTGGGATCAGTGGAGCAGGCCGCGGAATATATAAGACATCTGCAAATCTTTTGGGGATGACCCCGAATACACAATACACCATAACAGTTCGTGCCATCAACTGGGTTGGACTTGGACAAGCAGCGACAATTCGGCAATTGACAAGTTGGTATTCATAACGTTTTGGGATTGATCTGGGTTATATTAAATTACGTTTTCATTATCTTTTGTCCACATCCATATATATGACACATACAATTATTATCATTTGTGATGCTTTTACTATTTTTGGAGTTTTCTTCAATTCACCCACTCGCTTTATCATATTAGTAGGCTTACCATACATATGAAACATAAAACCGGGACAGTGCGAATTGGAAAAACCTTGGTTCGATTCCAAGGCTTGGTAATGTTCAATTTATATGAATACTGGTGACATTCAAATCATTGGAAAACGTATTTTGAATAATTTAACTGCAGTATAGCTAATGTTAGATTTTAAATTGACGTAATAACATATCATAATTATGACTTAAAACAATACGGCACTCTCTCTCTCTCTCTCTATCACCAAAGGCTCATTGCTCTCACCGGAATGGTGAAGTGAGTCGCAAATCAGTAATAATTGGACTGAATCCCTTAACGAAAAATATTGTATTGATATTAAATTAAAAAAATATATTTCAAACTGCCATACTGCATGACCGGGACATTTGAGTCTACCGGGCGGGGCGCCGGGACAGCTTGTCAAATTCGGGACTGTCCCAGCTAAACCGGGACGTATGAGGAGCCTAAATATGAGCAGCTGGTACTTTTTGTCGATTAATTTCTTTAAACAATTTTTTCTGTTGTTAAATTTCGATTTTAATAGTTTTGACAATTGTATCATTAAGCTTTATAATGACAGCTAATCGGGTATTGTAAGCTTGTTTTAGTAGACATAAAGGGATTGTCTTGCCGGCCAATGTCGTAAATGCATACCAATCTCCTTTTCTATTTGCACCAAAGAACTTCCGCCGCCATCAAACGTTCGGGTCGTTATGGAAACGGTCTCCCATAATTCAATGAGCGTACATTGGGATCCCGTGGTTGGCGCAAACACTTATGAAGTTTCTGTATCACCGCCAGATGGCGTACTTGGAGCTGGCCAAGGAATTACAGATACTTATGTTATTCTGAGGTTAGTAATGACGATACGAAGTTTTTTTATTTGCTTGTATTAGTTTAATGATATAGTGCATACGCGTTTTAAGTCTGTAAGCTGGTTTAAGCGAAAAAATCAATTCATTTCAGAAACTTGAGAGCCGATACCCAATACCGTGTGCAAGTTGGAGCCAGTAATGAGGCCGGTTTGAGTGAATATAGGCAAGCAATTGCAAAAACATGTAAGTTGATAAAATTTATAATGAAAAGCTAAAATACACTGACTTTTACTTCCAAATCACTATATTGCATTATATTTCAGTGTCGGTCTGCTATGCGAAAGCGATGGATTTCCCGAAAGACTCTTTCAAGTAAGTTTGTTTCAAACCGTTTCCTGTGATTCCGTTATTTGTTGGCTGATATTGGACGTAAGACATTACTAGTATTTTTGCCAGGCCTCGGTCGTGAAAATAGTCTGTTTTTTCGCTGGTATCGCGGTCGCAACATTTTCAAATGCAGAGGAGTCCGAACCTAGCGTAAGCCGGCATTGAATCATCTAAAAATCGGAAATTAAAATCAAAATTTGTTTAATTGAAACATTAAAAAATTCGAAGTTTTCGTAGTTAAAATTTTTTCCTCGGAGCCGTAATCAACTTTGCTGAATCCGGAAAAAAACAGTTTTTGTATTCAGTGAGTGTATGTTTCTGATATAAAACCAAGACAAGTTTTTGTTTTATATTTAATATATTTTTGTTGCATTTTTTGGGATACCGCAAAATATGTGAGACGTGCACTGAAAAAATATCAAAAGCTTTTTGAGACAATATTTCAAATAGACTATTTCAAAAGCTTACATTCTTGAAATTATTCATTTTTACTTTCATTTAACGTTTAGAATGATAATAGTTTTTCAATATTAAAAGTTTTTTTTATCAGGATCACCTGCCCAGCGAGATGTGCGCGAAATCAAGAACACGTTTATGGAACAAGAGAATATACAGATGTAAGTTTCTCTTCACCTATCTTCACTCAATAATATCGTATACATCTTAAATATCATCCTGAAAAGCGTAATACTATCTAGGCACAAATTCCTTGTGTAATTTTAAGGTGTTTAATATACAATTTCTCCGTCAAAATCAGATAGAATTATTTGAATATATAAAATACTCATTGAATCACTAAACGACAACACCCTAACATTTCCGTTTAGGATTCTTATATTTGCGCTGCTGCCGTTCACGATGGTAGAATAGACGACAACGTCGGAGGTGAGGTTGTTGTTAAGAAACGACCAGGGTTGCCACATTACGTTGGTACAGGAAGACATGGAGTTTTGTCCCAAGAGTGAGTGTTATGTTTTCAAAACTGAGTCCGTTTTATTATAACTCAAAACAGGAAGAAAGGGCTATTTCATCAAGACTATTTTGTTGCGAATGTGTTTATGACATCCGTGTTTAAATCACGGATTCTCACTTATAAACAAATACATTACTGTCATGCGACAATTGGCAAGCTACGAAAATTCAGTATTGTTACGGAAGTGCTCGTAGATACCGGCGAGCACAGACCTTGAAAGCAGTTCTACTTGGGCAACGCCCTGATAGAATGTAACCACCAATCTGATAGAGATAGATTAACCGAAAATCTTTACAATTATTACAAGAGAGCTATGCTCAAATATATGGACACGTAGAAGCACATAATTTTGATGACATCATAGCGAAAAAAAATGTAATAGTCTTCTGGAGAAAATTTATATCTTTAACTACTGAAAATTTCAAAGCAATTGGTCCAGTATTCGATGAGAAAAGCAATTTCTTCAAAACGTGTTGACGGAGACAAATAATAACAATACCAACAAAATTTTGAAACGATCGTTATGCCCACTACGTGTCCAATAAGGAGTTGACATGGCTTGTTTACGCCGAACAATCTAATTAAACTATTTCGTTGTATTCTAGTTACGGCGGCTGGCACAGTTCTTTTGTGTTTGGACTTCAAATCCCTAAAAACTTCAAAGTTCAACCAGGATCGATCGGTCATAACACATTCACAGTTGAATGGGATAAAGTTAGTGGAGCAGATGCATATAGAATATCGGTTATTCCTGATTTTGGTAAGCTCATTAAATAGAAAATGAAAAGGGATGTTTTTAGAATAGAAAGTGGCCTCAATATTTGCACTAACTGGCAAAAAATCGAAAATAAAAAAGTTGCAGAATATCAACATAGTGCAGGTATATACTCCTGAATTCTAATAATGGCGGATTCGAATATAACCAAAATCTTTGGTTAAAGTTTAATTTTTAAATTCGATTCGATCACTTAATTCAAGTTCATGCAAATGAGGGATATGAAGAGACATATATATGATCCCATTCAACTTCACTGGACCCATCCAAAATGTAATTCCACATTTATCATCATTGTTCATTTAGGTTGAAGATATTTTAAATCATCAAAATACTGCACTTGATTCGCAATACTCTTTTTGTGTCTTTCCCAACAGATCTTCTATTTTAAGACCATGTTTCCTTTTCTATTCCTCATTCAACAGAACTTGCGATCATGTGTTCACGTCTTCTCGCGTGTTCAATCTGAGTGTCTCCTCCGTAGAAAATCTATATTTTTAATTTTTATTACAGCTGTTGTAGGAGCTCGCCCTGGAATCGAAGATACAAAAGCAACGTTGAGTAATTTGAAATCAGACACCGAATATAAAGTTTACTTGACTGCTACAAATACACTAGAAACAAGCGAAGCTGCAATACTTGAACAAGTACGTTTTAAACAATGATCATCAAAAATCTGTAATTTCTCGTGCAATCGATGCCGCCGGTGTACTGCCTGCTATTCGGGTGGTGCACTTGCAAAAAAAAATCATCAATTTCACCATAAACCTCGTTTTACTTAATTATTCATTTATATTATGTGGACGAATCGACAAATTGCGTTTATTGGACACCAAGTGTTGGAACAAGTCGCTGGATAACGATAACTTGAATGTTATTTCAATTTTTTTCTGAGACCTATAGGACCCGATTTTTCACCTCTAATTTTGGGGGTATTCCGCACCACAACATGACATTCCATTCAATCATTTCAGCAAACTCGTATCAAAGCTCAGATAAATCCTTACTTGTACCGCTGCGAGACCTTCTTGTCCATATATTCGTCGTCAATAAATTTTTATTAACTCTTTCCAACAGTATACCGCACTATCTGGACCGAAAAATCTTCAAGTCGTGACAAACTCAGTCGCACACGATCGTATGAACATTACTTGGTATCCAGTACCGGGTGCATCTCATTACGTCATTGATATCAAGGCGGGAGCTACGTCATTCAGTGACGAGACGAAGCTATTATCGGTAAGTAGAAATTTTGCAAATAAAAAATATTGAATGAATCAAAAAGAAGTTCTAATTCCTTCGATTTATTAATCCTGTTATAACAGACTTTAATTTGTAAATTCATGAAAAAAAAACTAGGTTTTGGGCATTTCGAAAATAAATTTTGTACAAAATCAGTTATATATTCGGTGCATATCCATGTTTATGTTATCAAATCCTGAAAAATTTTGTATAATTTATAGTCGATGATCGATGGATTACAAAGTGGAATTCGATATACTATCAGTGTGCGACCCGTAAACAGTGTTGGACCTGGAGAGACAACAAGCATCACTCAATATACAAGTAAGCTATATAGCGACAGCAAAAAATATACCTGGCTGTATCCATATAGCATAACGCACTGAGATTTTGAAATAATTACTGGTATTTTCACGGTAAACAGGAGAGCGATGCTGAAATATATGGACACGGAGGCCAAAACGAAGTAGTACCGGTATGCAATCTGTCACAGTAGAGTGGTAGACTACCGCAATCTTCACGACCAACGCGTACGTAGCGCAATTTGTGTTGACGTCATCGCACACAAAAAATAAATTCCATTGAGCCCACAGATTTTTTTGAAATAAATGAAAGCAAAAAATACAGTCTTTACCTTTTGAAAATTTCAAAACAATTGGTTAATAGTTGATGAGAAAAGCGATTTTTTTTTCATGAGAATAAGAAGAAAAATACCAACAAAAACAAGACAAACGACTACAACATAAATAACAGTTGTTTATGTCAATTTATCAGATCTCCCATTAAATATTTTATTTTCAGAACTTGCGACTCCAGAAAACGTCGAAGCTGAATCAGTAAACTGGCATCGTATGCATGTACAATGGGATGCAGTATCAGGAGCTTCTCATTATTTGGTTTCAACAGTGCCAGCTGGTCTGAGGTTTGTAACCGAAATCATCCTTATCAAGATTGGTCAGCCACAAGTACCTTGATTTCCAGGATTTTTAAATATTCGTTTCAAAGTTGTTACAGTCATACCCATTCCGTATAAAAAATAACGCCAACTTTTCCTATATAGAGACCTAACAAAAATCACACAACCTTCCTACCAATACAACATAAAAACAGATCATATGAGATGAAGTAATGAACACAATTTCACCTACACTATTAATTATGACACATTTTTGACAATAATCTACATTCCATGGACTGTATTATATTAGTATTAATTATCAATTGGAAACTTCTTAACAAAATTGTTGCACTGAACTGAACACCCAAGGTAGATCCTAGTGCAGTAAGGTTCGTGGTAATGTTCAGATATTTTGACGAATCTTATTCGATTCTATGGTAGTTCTCGAGACATATGTCACCGATATGTGGCCTTTGTAGCCATATTTATAATCATTGCCTTCTTGTATCGTTTAGAAATGCTTCGGAATCGACTGAAAATCCATGGATTTGGCTTGAAGACTTATCTCCTGATACGATGTACGATATAAGAATTCAGGCAGTAAATCCACATGAGAGAAGCAGGTCTACGACGATAAGGCAAATGACTGGTAAGCCGAAAACCTACTTCTATTCAATTAAAAGTTTATACCGTTCTATTATATATGTCCAATTGCAAATATTTCTTTTCGTTCAAAACAATAGCTTCGGGAGTATCAGCCGCTGCTGTTCTATAGCCAAGTTCGGAGTGAATAAGTGAAAACGCTAGTTTAAAAATTCAATTAAATCTTGCTATGGTAGTCCATTTAGTCAATTTTAAATGGTAGATTCTGGACAAAAAAAAATCGATTGCATATTAATATATCAGTGTTCTTTAAATTAAATAGTATTCCCAAATAGTCAAAATTATTTCTAACACAAACAGCTCTCGGTCAACCAAGAAATGTAATCGTCAGCGATAAGACTCACAACACCCTTTCCTTGGTTTGGGATAAAGTAAAAAATGCTGATTCATATCACGTCACAATTGTATCAATCGACGGAAAACACGGAACAGAGGATGAAAGGAAATCGAATAAATTTATCTTGACAGGTTTGTCCAATACATTTATATAGCTTAAAAACATTTTAATTCCTCTCGAGAACGGCTCCTGACTCAATTATTCATAAGAGATGAACTTCATACTTAATGCATTTAAAGATGTTCTTTTTGTTTTGCAATTTTAATGCTCAAGAAACCGGCTACGATTGAATTATTATTTACTGGAGTAAAATGGATTTTATTTAAAATATGAAGATAAAATCATGTCACAAACATACCACAAAATACCGTTGCGTGATTCGGATTAATTGCCGCAAATGATTATACATCTCTCCATGTCATATTTCATGGCCACTACCTTACCGACAATGTAAATATGGATAAGCTGTACTGGAAACATCCTGGTTTATATAAAAACATAGATAACGTGTCTGAAGCTTTATTAAGAGCAAACGTGCGTGGTTAGCTCATAAAAAGTAACGTTCAAAAATATTGCATTACAATTGTAATGATACGAGATTATTTCCATTTCTGTTCCCCTTTTCTCTCCATTGATTGAGCTATGAAAAGTCGTCAAATAAAACAATGTAATTTTGAAATCATATTTATAGGACTTGAAGGAAGAACAGAATATAAAATCAAGGTCGTCGCAAGAAACAAAATTGGTGATGGAAAACCGGCGTCGATCGGTGTTACAACATGTAAGTTTTGCAAAATAAAATTATTTTTTTGTCTGTGTGGTTTAACCGTGTACTCCACATAGTAAATAGTTTTGCAAACTTTTTCGAAAATTTTACAATGTTCTCACTAAATACCATTTTTGCGTAAATTGCCGCAAAATATCGAAAATGCTGTAAATTTTCAAATTGATTTTAATAGTGATTCCTCCTCCATCCAATTTGGTTATCAGAGGAAGCAACGTAAATCCTTCACAGATTGAAGTAACTTGGTCACAGGTGAGAGTTTTATTTTGTTTAGGATGAATTTACAATTAAATTAAATACAATTTACCGTAATAAAACAATTCATTCATAAATTCATGATGAATTTGCAATAAAATTAAATCACCTTTATTTGCCAATCAAGAAATTTCATTCACAAATTTAGGATGAATTTATGTTGAAATTAAATGACATTTATTGTACTATCAAGCAATTTCATTCATAAAAATATGTGCGTGTTATACAGCATTCAATAATATCCAATAACGCGACTGTAGCCATAAAATTTCAATGTTCGCTTTTCAATATTTTGTGAAATAGTTTGAAGCACATGTTAGGGTTCGGCGAAAACACACTACAGACCCAAAGCTCAATGTTTACCTATACCTTTCTGTTATTCTTGGAAAACAATACTACCTATATGGCTGACAAGGGGGCCACAAAAGAGTTCTTAACTCCAAGTTGATCATATAGTCCATTTTCTTAACATTATAATTAAATAGCCGATTGCATCATAAGACTACTGCTTTTTTATATACTGTTGTAATTTTGTTTCAGATGCACGATGCGACAGGATATTATATATCTGTGAGTCCAGGTGGTGAAATCCGCGGTACTGGATTAGTTAGAGATAACAAAGGAGTGGTTAGTGGTAAGTGGAGACAAAATTTTACAGGTGCTAGTTGTTAACTAACACCAGAACACTTCACGAGACAACAAAAATCACATATGAATATAATTTGTAACCACAAGAGACGCTAAAAAATAAATAACATATTTGTTAGTTAGACTTGACTATGATGACATCGCAGGATCAAATACCATGCCCACCACCTTACCTAGAGTAAATAAAACATTTTGGTAGGCGATACCGAACCGGAAAGATTCCGGTTCCTCCCAAATAACGTAATAGTATCTGCTTGTACGGAGCCTTGTTCGAGTGAAACGCGTACAAGTCTGTTGTGTAAAAATAATTTATTTTTTTTGTCAATACCGTTTAAATAGGTAAGGGTATTTGTCGTTGATTCTTCATTTCTTAATTATATCCGATATTTAAAAAAATATATATTGGTTTGAATACTTTTAAGCAAAATACGATTTTAAAATAGCATCTCTTTTCGCGATTTAAAATATAGTCAAACGTTTTTGTTTCTTGCATTGAAGGTTTGAAGTCTGGCGTTTTATATAAGCTCGATGTAATGGCTGTGATTGGTGCTGAACGAGGAATGAACGCGTCATCGAATTTTGCTACTGGCCTTCCTTCACCAACAAACGTTCGCCTCGAAGAAGATTATATTCTTCCAAATAGTTTGTTTGTTGTTTGGGATGTCGTCAGTATTGCAGAGTATTACAATTTAACATACCAGAATTTAAGGTGATTTTAGGAATAAGTTAAATTCTAGATCAAGTCAAGTACACAAGCCAAACCACATAATCATGAGTCGACAAGGACATCGTAGTCTGTCGATGGGACATAACCCGGTATTTGGAACTGCGTTTAAAATGGAATTATTCTGTCTGTATTCTGTAAGACATTCTTCATTGATTATCCGCGGGTTTGCGTATTGATTAGGACCTCCCAGTTCTCTTTAATTGTGTTTGAACTGAGTCTAAATACAACAACGGCAATGCCTTTGTTTTTTTTTTTCAATCGATAAAAAACTTTCGAGTGTGCTCACCGAATGTAATATTGCTAAAGAAATTAATAATTTGTAGCCGGTTCATTTTGATATACTGTAACAAATTATTTTCAATTTTAGAACATCCATGACAAAAACGATTTATGACATCCAAAATACTTCAATGCTTTTGCCTGATCTCGATCCGGGAACGAGGTACTTGATAACAGTTTTTGCCGTTGGAAGTTCAAATCAAGATGGCGGAGTGAAACAATTAGGATCATTGGGTGCATCGACCGTAGGAGTGACAAGTAAGGAATTTATTTACAAGTAAATTGACCTGCTTTCCTATACGCTGCCTACATCATTGCATCAGTACTTTGATATATTATCTGGATAATAAACGTTTAGTCATTTTCCGGTGTTACATAACAATCAAGTTCCAATAGTGAAGTACACTCGAATGGGATGGTAGATAAGATTTTTAAACTAACAATATATATCTTAATTTTCAGGACTTGGTATACCTATGGACATCACATCACAGAATATTACCGACACTTCAGTTACTGTAATTTGGAACTCAGTTCGTTTTGCGACCCATTATAACGTTTTCATCGATCCGGCAGTGGGTGTAAACGGAACTGGAAAAACAGAAACCAATATGTATGTCGTGGTAATTAAAATATAAATAGACAATTTCGTAATTAATCACTCTGAAGTCGAGTTTCACTTGTGATAATTAAATCTGTGTTTGCGTTTTTTTAAAAAGCTAAAAAAATTACTTATGTTCATTTTCTCTTGTCCGCAACCAGAATTGATTCGAATTCCTGGTCTATTTACAAATTAAAATTGATATGTATAACTAGATTTAATAACCGTTCTGATTTATTGAATTGCAAAAACTATGTAGAATGTAATTCAAATCAAAATTTCCGATGGGTGTTATTGTTGAAAGTCTTCAAAGTTTGTCTTGGAACGCACTTATGCTTATTTCCCCATTACTCTAACAAACAGAAATAAAAACGTCAAGACAATCATGCGTGTACTAAAATTGTAAGATCGCTACATCATATGTACAAAATATTCAAGATTTTAAGTTATTTTTCATGGAATTGTGTTTGTATTCAGAGCCCAGATTACTGGTCTAGTAAAAGGAGAACAATATGTTATTTGGGTATATGCAATGAATGAGGACAACAACGCCACAAGTGAACGTATAGAACTTGCCATTGTTGCTGGTAGTAAGTATACAATTTATTTGTCTCATTAATCAATATATCCATATACTTATGACAATGCGATTTACGCTTCCAAAGACAGAATGCCCCATGCCATGCTTTAAAATATTCAAAGCAGTGAAGAAACTTGTTTTAAAAAAAATCAACTGGAAAACGAAACAGTATCAAAACTAGTACATACTCCGCAGGGATGGCTATGGTTGGGGGTGATGGACAATTGAATGCCATTGAAAATATTTTATCAGTTCTGTGTTCCAAGCTATGCATATAAAATCCTATTTGATGATTCCTCGTAAGACTTCGAATATATTTTCAAAATATTATTATTTTCAGGTCAAACGCCAGTAGATACCGAATATGGCGGTGGTTCGTGGCCAATTTTTACCGAAGCCGAAGAACAACCAACGCCTGATGAACCAAATCTGAAGCACCCAGGGTAAATGATTTATCATTACCTAATCAGGGTGGTCTAAGGTTGTGAGGTTGAAGGGCCGCAAAAACTTTTGAGTAGGTCTCGCGGGCCGCAGTCGGAAAAAAGCCAAAAGTGTTCAATCAATGTACTCGTAATGTAGAAATAGGAAAATTAAAAAAAAGTCTCCTTCCAACACCACACACATACAGCATATATATATATATACAAAACTTACTCTAATTTAATGTTATTGTCTGTCAGAAATGAAAAGAATAAAGGTGATGAACCAAAGAAGGAGAAAGACGGATCGGGAAATACTTGGATTATAATCGTAGTCATTGTCATTTGCCTTGCATTATTGGTTTTATTTGCTGTTGTTCCATGTTGTTGTGACTGCATGAAAAACAAGCCATTGTTAAAGTAAGTTATAGAACTGTTTATATACATTGCTGGGAATGATCTGATCGATTTTTTAAATATATTATACGCAAGAAATTCTATAAATTTATTACCTCATTTCACTTCATTCTTTCAAGATTCCGCTAGTCTTCATTCATTTTGTTATTTTAATAAAGTTATTAATGAAGTTATGGCGGAATTTGTGGTAAATTTGAGACAACAAATTAAAACAGTTTTCTCTTACGAGAAACATCTTGTGAAATTTTTACTTAGTCATCTTGACAGTATTTTGTGTTCATTCATCCAGGTATCATGGATGGTGCGGATGTTGCTCTCCATGTAGTGATGTTGGTTGTTGCGGATGCAGAGGATGTTGCAATGCCACTGCAAAAAATATCGACGATGAGGATGATGATATAGAAATTGCCGGAGGAAGGGCTTACACTCCAAGCATGTCACGAAGGACTCATTCTAGAAATTCATACACAGTTTATCATTGATTGGATTAAAAAAAATTTTCGTCAAATCGTGGTCGTTAGAATGATGTCAAAATAAGAAAAATGTGGCAACATTCGACTTCACAAAATATTTAAAAACTGAATCCATTATCGTTAGTCTTAAGTTTTTGTTAAAGTGTGCCTAAATTAATTAATGGTGGTCAGTGAAATATTTTACGGTAAAAACGTGCCCCACAATCTGTGATATCTTTTAGTGAATGTGTTTTTCTTATTTGTCGTTGACTATTATTGAATTGCTTTATCGTTTATTGTTTGTGAAAATATATTTATATTGAACCTAATTTAAACTTGTTTTGTATAAAACATAAGTAGGAATTAAAAAATTACAAAGATAGAAAAATCAAAAACGGGATAAATATATACATATATGTATGTGCATCAATGGCGGCGATTTAAAAACATAATGCGACATAATATTTTACAATAATGAACGAAAATCCATTATCAAAGCTCAATCGCCAAATAACTAAAAATTATAAAATTCAGTGGGAGCTTCGGAATGAATTCAAATAAAAATTTTCAAAATAAAATCGGCCATACGTCACTGCTCTTCGTTCTCACACACCGATACCGAAAATATATATACCCCAGCCTGAGTAAAATATTATGAATTTTTTGAAATTCATCGTTGCTTACATCACGTCGTCAGCAACAAAGTATGCCACACGTAATTGAAGATATAAGCTAGGATTGATTCCATACTAAAGCTTGCATAAAAATCGAGAATTAATCATCAAAATCGATTACATAGCCTACTATCAATAACCTAGCCTTGTCACCGTATCAATAATGCCTACGTATAGTGATAACGCTTGATTAATTTGATGCATTATGCATGCATAATTTCATCCCATTGACTTTTCGCGCTTATCGAATAAATTGTAAGACACAATTTGTCAGTATTTGACAGGGATGACGAATGAACGTAACTGCAATATTCTATCAGAATTTTCGTAGACCGTCGACGGAACTGAGAGTTCTCGTCTTCGTGGATGCAATTTACTTTTGAAGTTAGTTAGAAAAAAGATCGTAGAATTTAATCTAACTACTAATATAATTAGGATCACAAAAGATGAAATTACGGACGTCTTTCGAAATCGGTTTAGCCGCGAAACCACCACATGCACCTCGTACTAACGGCTCTGTGAGGTTGAATCGGCGGGGAAGTGTACTGAACAAAGAAAGCGATTGTTGCCAGAAAATAAATTCCATAAATTCAAACCAGAATAACAACAATGTAGACTATTATTCCGAGAATGTGCAAATACACCGGCAAATTAGTCCAATTCAGGAAAATGGTAACGACGATATTGAAGCTTCAGAACACGAAAATACTCAGTCTACCGGTATGCTTGGTACCGGGACTGACGAAAACAAAGCCAGTTTCGCCAAGCTGTTGGTAGTTTCCAAACCGTCCAAAGCTGAAGATGATTATATGACCGCAGAAGCTACTTGTGCCGATCAAACAATAGAAACAGAAAGCGAAAGATTGATTGGAAACGAGTATAATATAAACAACAACAACAATAATACTGGGTCATTGTCTGTTAGTCAAAACTCAGTTGACTGGGAAGCAAGTTCGCTAGACGATGATGATTTAGAAATATTTACGGACTTATCAGAATTTACATCTTGTACCGTGGACGATTGTTACTTATTGAATGGGGATTACAGTGGATTGTCATCGGATCAACTGCAACTCACTGTTACCGTAGCAAAGTCATCTGGATCAACGAATCAACAACCAACAAGTAAGATACAAGTTTTGGTTCCAGCTTTTGTTTACGCGTAGGGTAATTTCAGAGAACAATACTGTAGAATGCAAATTTTGGAAGCCCGTTACCTAGCCTAAACGTAACATGAATTTATACTTCGCTTTGTATTTATGAGAAAGCGGGCCTAATTTATGTTTGTTTCAATTTTTGCTGCATGTGGCTTGATACTAATTTAATTAGAAGCTTTTTCACAATATACAAGTGCTGTAATCATCTTGATTTGTAAGTATTATGCTTGCGTGCAGTCCTGCGAACCACTGGTTACAGTTGAACCAAGCGCAAAGGCGCAGTTTTCTGACAACGCGCGGTTGTTTGCCTTATTCATAAATTGATTTAATTGAATATTTGTCAAAACAACGCGCGAGAACTCACTCGAAAAAAAATATAAAAGCTAACACAAGATTCAAAAGCTTTAAAACTATCGGCAGGCGATATTGGCGTTAGACGATGTTCGCGTCAACTCGGGCAAGAAAGTCTTCGGAATTCGTATCCCATTCCATAAGTTGCCACAAAAAAACTTTTCGTGTTGAAATTTCAACTCGACCATAGACGAATTAAATAATTTGGCAAATTGAACGCAGTTTAGAAAATACTTTTTTGATGAGCTTATCCCAAATAATTCAGAACCACAATATCTTTAAGAATATGATATATATATAAATAAAATGATGAAAGAGGCTTTTCGAAATATGCAAAATGTGGCAACTTGTTTGCCAATTTTACACCAATCATATTGATTACTCTCGTTTGAATTCGGTCATTATAATAACGTCGACTGCACCAACAACTAATTTGACAGACTGTTTGGAGATTGAATTACACTTCATTAAAATTCCACTCATACAGTACTTATGAATGAATCTCACATGAAGCATGTGTATTCCAGTACCGACATTTTACATGTTTCAACACATGCCGTATAATCTGCTTTTTTGTGCATATTTGCATAATTCATAATTGCGCATCTGGGAAGAAATCGACAGAAAAGCGTCGGCAAAAGAAAAATAGCTGATTTAAATGAGACTAAAAGATAGCAGATAGTCATAAAGTTAGTTTTAAAATGAATTTGCTAGAAACAGACAAAAGAAATGTGTAGGGAAATGCTTATTGTTGAAAGTTTATTTGGTGGCAAATAGCTCTCAAAAAGTCAGGTTTACCCTAACGATTTCGTAGCTTGTTTTACGTATGTAGCCACAGAAAAGAGAATGCGACGTAGATTAAATGTAGGTGTTAGGTGCGTTTTCCGTATCAAACTAGATCATATTATTTCATGAACAACTTTTTGTTATATATATTGAATTATCCTTTAGCCTTTATATCTATATATCATATACATACTCTATCTTAAAATATTTATTTTTAGTTTGTGCATCACCGAAGCCGGTATATATACATACGCAGCCATCATCTGGGTCTCCGGCATGGTCGTCCTGTACTCGTCAAGTAATACGGAATTATTTGGGCTTGAATGATGCTTCAATAGACGATACGGCGGATAAACAGGAAGAGGAAATACCATACAATATGAAAAGCCCCGTTGCCGAGCGCTCTGTACCTAGCGAAGAGGATGAAGTAAACTATTTGAAGTCGGCTCTAGAAACAGTCCCGTTTGAAGATTCAAATTACAGTACTTTTGAAGACTACGAAAAGTCATTGTATGAAAGTTTGTACGAAATGAGACGTGATCCCGGGGGTATGTTACTCACACATGAGCAAAATTATAGAACCCTACCTACGAAGCTAAGCAATAACGACCGTAGCATCTTTAACCAAATTCAGTCCGAAATCAATCAAACTCAGGATCGATTTAACTCAGACGCGAAAATGGACACTAAAACAGCAAATACTAACGCAATATCAAAGAAGAAAATAAGTCGAATACCGGTTCGAAGTCCAACACAACAGTCCAAGTAAGTAGTTTGGCGTAAATGAGGTGTTTTTATGATATCGTTTCTTTCATTATATTTATAATACATACTGTAATGCAGAATACCAAAGCGAGGAAGAAATTGTAGGACTGACGATTCTGATAATGCCACAACACCGCCACGGAAACCCGTAGTGCAGGTAAATACAGGATACAAATTGTTCGGTATAGTATTACTATATCTATGCAATGTATATTGTAGACACTCACTTGATGAAATATTAATGACTCGTTGCCTTAACTATACAGTACTTATTAAAGGTGCTATTCTTTTAACGCATTGAAAAATAGGAATTATAATATATATTATGCCTGTACTGTATTCTGTATATATCGCCCAATAGTTAACTCAATTTGGCCAGAAAGTTGTTTATATTTCGTTCTATATATGTGCATCCATCATGAATTCGTTGTACCTGAATAACATCAAATGGTTTCAAATTTTTATTCCACTTGACGGATACAAGAACGTTGAACACGGGTGGTGTGAAACTATAATATATATATTATACTTTTGTTTGCTGCTACAGTCCGGTCTATTGGAATTACCAAGAATAAGGACGCTCCCTCGTCCAACGCGACGAAAAGATCATATTCATGAAGATTTATCTAAAACGGATGGATGGTTGAATTACCCAGCAAAAACTGCCAATCGAAATTCAAGACTGATTTCTCCGCAAACCATAATTTCAAAATCAGGCCGAGGATTAAATTCTACCATACCTCGCTACAGGGAAATGAAAAAGGTAGCCTACACTAATGTTTTATATCAATATTTGAAAACCATGATATCGATAACAATAAGCCTCTTCAATCGGTATGGCATTGCTGCCGAAAAAGAATAGTAATAGAGACGAACACACTCATTTAAAGCGCGAATATTGCGTTATACGCGATCAAACATCATCAATCAATGCTTTTTGTCACATGTACTGTCTTCCACGCGTCTGCCTTGTTTGATTATGCACAACGCTACGTCGTTGTCTGATGAATTATATGCTCTTCATTATAAAACCCGTAGGATTAGATACTTGGCAGGAACACTTGTTGCCACTGCAAGACACATTTAAAATGATGTTCTCAAATGTAGTTTCATACAAATTCATAGAATTTCATTCCAATTTTCCTTATTTCAGTTCTATCACGATTTCGGGGACTAGCCAAGTGACTTCTGTATGTGTATGTACCTGGAATTATGGCCTAACCCTAACCTGGTACACATACTACGTTCCGGTGTCCGCCATCTTGATTCACATAATTCGGGAGTACCGAAAAATCTACACGATGCATATTAAAAAAAAAATTTCCTTTGACTATTTGCCCACTTGCTAACAATTTTGTGTGAAAAGTACAATTAAAATGATGAATAATAATACATATTTTCCGATCCGAAATTTTATTTATATTCGTCTTATCAGCCCATGACTTGGTATTTTTTCTGTCAGCCGAACATCGTCAAAGGTTACGCACGGACTCTTCCAAATTCACCTCAGCCTGGATTAAGGCGGAATCAACAATGGTGGCGTCCTTTTTTGTCAAGACTAGATGAAATACGGGACTTCTTCATCGATTCGCCAAATATCAGCCCAACGGAAGTAGTTCGAAGTGATGTGATTGGATCATTAGCGGATGAACTGAGAAGCCTATGCGAAGGTTCGCCCGAGGTAACATGAGCATGCAATCAGATCTTGCTTATCATCTTGCTAAGATGACACCTTAAAATTTCAATCTGTACATAGAATGATCTATATATAACTTCAACTGCTTGAGAGGAACTTGCATTAACATCTATGATTGAAATTTATACAGTCCTAAACACATTTCCCTCATTCGGCTTGTGATTGGAGCTTAGTTCGGGAAGAGTTAATGCATATGCAGCACGTTTGTCTCAACTCAATGTGCAAAAATAAGACCCCTGGTCCCGTATTGCCTTTTGCTATTGCTACATCCGTTTTCACTCATAAAAATTCCAAGGCTAGGTGTTGCCTATAGGCTAAGATCGCTCGCTTCAGATTTGCTGAATGGCGTAGTTAATTTGACGACAGGAAATAACTGTGTTGCAAATTACAAGTAATGCATAAAGTATTCAACAGTCTATAACGTCTTAAGTAAATAACTCAAGATCTAAGATATGGGTTCTTTAACTTTAAAAATGTTATTGTCAGTATACAGTATATTTCTGTGTTCGGTGTAGGGAAAACATCCCACAAACAGTAGTTCATGGCACTAATACTGTGTGTCCAAGCAAGACTATGTACTAAAAATCCTCGTAGTCGCAGTAAGTTTTTTTGAGAATGGGAAGTCGCAGGGCATCAAAGTAGGACCTGGTTTGGCGAATTGTATTTAAATAAGCACGTGTCATCAAATTGATAATGTTTTACCATAATTCAATCAAAACCTTACTTAATTGATCCACATTATTAGGAATACAAATTGACAACTAACCCTTACACTTGCTATCTAATTCCGAAATGCAAACGTAGTTGGGCGTATCCTAATTTTATACGTTTTAAATAAAAAATCGATTTTTCTCTGAAATGCAAAAAACTATTCTGCACCATATATACTGAATTGGGAATATTTTAACAATATCCTGAAATTTGTATTATTTACTCAATATTTTTTGATAAGGTGTGCTCATAAGAAGCATTGTTAAGAGAAAAGGCGCAAATCGTTTTGTATAATTTTATGAATTTAGCTCTTATAATATACCAATCTTGGTCCATTCTTTTCTAATAAAACCTTTGATCGTATAGCGGTATAGCCCATCACGCTCAGTTTACTTTAGTTTAGTCTGCGAACTTTACCATTAGACCAGTCGAATTTATTTTAATTCCTTTAAAAAGCAAACACCTATCCTTTTAGATCAAACCGTGGAAACTATAGACATGAGTGTCGTGAACTGCGACCCAACCCCAAAAGTACATTGTCCGACATGATATTTCATGTAAATAAGTAACCGCAAGAAATAACTTGTTAATACGTATTTTATATAGTAATAAGTTAGTGCCACTTTAATCCATTTCCAATACTGGTCGAAATACTGCGTTGCCATTGTCCGGATCGGTATGCCTACGTAAACTACAACATTGGTGCCCGAAGGCATGCTTCATTCAGAAATCTTGTAGCATGAAATCATTTTCGAAAAACCACTTGTCTTTTAGTAGCAACATAGCGACTTTTGTATGTTGGCAGTTGGTCGTTTGTCACTTAATTTATGAGGATTGCAAAGGTAAATACCGGTAATTAACTAGGCTAAAGTTTTGAGCCCACATCATCAGGTGTAAATGTGTGCTTTTGTCGCTATAAAATTCAAGCTAGTAATTAGCGATTCCAGTTAGTCTACATCGAAACAAATTCGAGCGTTTAATAGTCCGCAGCATAAATCAATCACAGCTCTTCATCTATTTCTATAGTTGGTAAGTGGGCATGGTGTACATAGTGAGATACGATGTTTATATATGGCTGTTCAAAAGATTTACGGTAGTTGTGCCTAGGTGGGAACAGTTTCCGCTTGAACAATACTCGTGCCTGAATGATGGGTGATGATTCCGAGTAGACTGGATTAGAATGCTATAGGCAGTAATGTAAGGCCACAGACGTGCTTTAAAAGTATTCGTATCAAGCCTTCAATATAATTAAATATATATACATATATGTGTATTAATTTCCAAGGAGATTTACTATTAATATCTGATGATTTGTTGCACGAGTCGTTCGTGGGGAATCAATTTCCAAAATCATTTATAAAGTCTGAAAAATCGTATCCTATCTTATTCGTCGACTCGAATTAGGGCTTAGGGAAATTACTAGGATGGTTAGATCGTTCTTGAACAGCAGTAAGGGATAAATGTGTTGATAGTGCATTGTGTCGTCATTTGAAATTTCATCTGTAGCGTACGAACGGAATAATATCTGTGGTATATTTTAATAGATTAAATCACTGTTTTACGCAAGTAGCCTACCGTTTGAGTTGCAATTTACGAGAGCTGAAATGCTTACAATATGTAACAAAATCGACATCACCAACAAAGCAATTTTTCGTCCTAAAATGCTGTCCGAGCGGAATTCTTCGGTAACTTTCCCAGAGATTCGTGGTCGTGGACGACCGTTAGTAGGGAAAACAACACTTGTGTCAAAGCTACCCTGGCTGAAAACGATGTGCACGGAGAACAATACTATGGTATTGCAAGATTTGGTGAGTAATGGAATGCATTCTAATGTTTACGTAAAAAATTAAGCGAAAATGGAATAAGCTATGAAGGATACAAAAAATAATTATCATGCAAAACACCACCGGATCTGTTGAATTTTTGATGAATTTTGTCTCACTTCGTAAATTATTAAATATGATTTATATCCCTCTTTTCTTGAAGAATTCGTTGATGCATGTTGACAAATGGTGGTGAGTTGAAGTATTGTATAAAAAGATGTTTTCGCGTGGTATCGTCATTGGCCACATTGTGGTTAAGATTAAGAATTATATGCTATTATACAATAGGTACACTACTACAGGATGGTGTATCTGAAATTTCGCCACGAGAAGTCACAAGCGAGTTGCAATATGTAAAAAACACAAGAACTTTTTCACCACATTAGACTTGGTTTTAAGACTTTGTTTGGACATTCTTTCATTTAAATAACTGTATATGTAATGGCTACTGCAGCGAATGGTGTAGCCTAATGGTAGACAGGGAACTATCTAGTTTAAATATCATTTTCAGGTTTTTGAGTGTTTCGTTTATTTTGATGGTGATGTTTAATGTCAGGATGTACGGTATATGTGCAACGACCGTGAAGGTAACCGATCGCTGAAGCGTGAAATAAGTACATAGTTTCCATTTTATGTGAGCGATAAATGAGTTTTCATGCTTCCGTTCGTAGGCCTGTATTTGAGTTTTTGAGAATAAGATGGCATTGGCTATGGGGACTGCAGTTACATGTGAACATTGAACAATTAAAAATTCAACTTCAGAGTGCATGTATATTTTGTATAACTTAATTGTATATTGGAAAAAATAAACTTGACTTGAGACTTCTAGGACAGTCTGACAGTAGGACCTTCTGACCTAGTTGTTAAGTCCTAAAGTCTGTAAATTGTAGTACCGGTAGCAGTAGAGCTACTCTCGTATGGTCGGGTCAGGTAGCGTTACTGCACTGCGATAGGTTATTGCTACAGTGCTATCTGGCTATTACAGTATTACTGTATTAGGGAGAATATGCAAGTTGGATATGGTATGGCAGAATGGTTTTCATAGTTAACCGCAGTATCCGTTCTGCTCAATCAAATGGCTGTATGGTGAACCTCTCACATGTAAATATCTCTTAATCCCATGCAAGGTAATCAGAGGTCTAATGGCAAGCGTGATCGTATTGCTCAGCAACGGTGCGCCAATGCTGACCTTCCTGGCATTGTTACTTGAAGCAAGGAATTATAAGAAACTATTATGCTAGATTCAGATATTACTTCATACATTAGTCAAAGTTCAAACCATACTGTTTCAATAATTTATTTGACTGTACTGATGCAAAACAAGACATGAGGAAAAATGAAATAGTTAAACAAAATATAGATTGTGCATTTGACTACTATGATAATTGTTATTGAGCAAAGTTAAAACTTTTTTAATCCGATTATAACATCTATGATTTTTATGACATCAGTATTTTTACTTTTGCTAGTGCCTTATGCTTTATTTTGGAACTCTATTTATATGAATATAATGTTTGATAGGCTCCGATTGGTTTGGCACCAGTCGAAGTTTCTCTGTTAATATCCTGGATGGAATGGCTGGAAAAGTTGCCAAATACGGTAGCACCATTTCCATGTCATTTGGAACTGGCAGCAATAACTCTGACTATCATGACGATGTCCGCTCTAGTAGCGGAAATGGGAAAAGCAGCAATTCAAGAGGCGGGAAGATAATGGAAGATTTTTTAATGATTGATGAGGGTTCTATCATTCAGTCACTCGAAGTAGAGGAAGAGCGGGGTAGGGCTTTGAGGTACTTGGAAGCTCAACTGAGAGAGAACAATAGCCAACTAATATTTCAAAATAAACTATCTCTCTTCCGTGGACTTGCAGAAACTTTGTGCGACAGCAATATCAATATCAGAATTGATTGTACAAAGCTGATTGCCAAAATTATACCCCAACTTTTGTCGGATCGAGAGAGATGTATGAATTATGTTATACCAAATATGGTTGCAAATATTGGAAATTGTCTTGCATTACAAAAAGAATCTGTTCAAACTCTTCATATATGCATGAAACACTCTGCTGATGTTTATCCGATACTTAAAGTTATAGCTGAACAAGGAATAAAACACAAAGATGATAAAACGCGAAAGCAAATTATTCACACATTTCCAACATTACTTTTCCCTGAGTTTAAAAATGAAGACTTCTTTGAAATAGTCATTGCTTTAGTGCAAAACCTAAATGAAAATGAATCTGACAGTAGCAAAGTAATGAAAACATTGTCACAAGTTAAGAAGTTTGTCGGCACTGCAAGATTTTCTTCATATATCAATGATCTTCCATCCCCCCTGCAATCCCTGTATAATGAAATGACGATGATAATGGACACAAGTACTTTATCAAGCAACCGGTCAACTCCTTCAATACTGAATACGGAGTCATACCCCAATGGAGAGGTAACTC